CTCAGCCCACCAGGGGGCAGGGCTGGCTGGCATGTGGTGCTGGGGGATTGAACCGCGGTCCCTGATGCTTTTGCTAAGCTTGTTCTAAGTAGGTGCTCCAGACCACTGAGCCATCTCTCCAGCCCCAATCCCTTACTTTTAAGAAGCCTTTCATTTAATGATTTACTAACCACAAATCTGTTTTCTAGATCTGATATTCTAACTTCACATTGGTTGATTTTGTTGCATAAGCTTTGAACACAAGTTTTAAATCTCCAGTATATCTGTTTGAATATTTTGTGGAATCCAGTTCTTTTCTATGTTGAATATTCATCATATCCATCACCTTTTTAAGCTTTTATTTTTTTAAAATCTGTATCCTAGATTCACTAATCATATCCTTCATTATCTCTTTAGTTATGTTTAAAATTGATTTTTTTTTCTTGAGCCTTAATTTCTTTTTTTTTAAATTTTTTTTATTTAACAAAAATTTAATATATGAAAATGTGTATGACCCAATCTTCAGTCAGTGAAAGTAGCACTTGGAGGAGGGGCATGAATTTTTCTGCTGAGCAGTCATTTAAACTCGTTCCAAGGCTTCCAACATGATGATACTATTTCCTCGTATTACCACCATTCCAATGTTCTGTTGCCCACTAGTTGCCATCTCCACACATTCATCTATCACAAGATTCATGAAGGGATCAAATCCTCGCAATATTCCTTGGACATGTCTACCACCATTCAATTTCAATGATAACTTCTTGTCCATAAATTTTTTCAGCTCGGGAGGGTGAGCTTTGCTCATCTTGTCTAGCCGACGGGCTCAGGGAGCCTTTGAAAGGACCTTAATTTCTTTACATTGTTATTTCTACTGTGAACTATTTCAGAAAATTTAAGTGGGTTTTGATTTCTTTCACCTTACTGCTGCCTGGACTTGCCTTGGGTGAGCTAGATAGAGGTCTAAGGCTGCGTGTCTCCCCTTGCTCCCTGGGCTGTGTCTTGCTTTCATATCTTCTCATTTCCTATTTTTAAAAACTTGTTTTCTGAGGACGGGCCAGATAGTTTAGCGGATTGAAGCGCATGCAGGGACCAGGGTCCAATCCCTGGCCTGCTGTACCAGGCCCCATGCTGAGATAGCTATCGAGACTAGGTGTGGGACTTGGGAGGCTGCAAACTAGAGGATTACTATGAGTCCAATCTGTGTAATGAGACCCTGTATTAAAGAAAAACAGAAAAACTTTTCTGTATTGATGCTTGTAAATTGATTATGGTTAAGTAGCTTTGTTACTAGTAATATTAGGAAATGACTACTTTTCAGAGATATCTTCTAGGGATAGCTGGCTTTTGGCTGTTGAATCTGTCCCAAGATCCTACCTCTTCAGTTTGTTAGGGATGAGGGAGTACGGATAGAATCTGTCCCAAGATCCTACCTCTTCAGTTTGTTAGGGATGAGGGAGTACGGATATAGCTCATCAGCACAAGTGCCTGCCTGGCAAATGTAAGGTCCTGAGTTCAATTCTTGATTTACAACAAAAACAAAAACCAAAACCTGACCCGTTTATTTTTATAGGGATGAGAAGTTACTGCTTACTTGACTTAGTATCCAGTTCTTTTTTGCTGTACTATGCTATAGTTTTGGACCCCAAGACAATCTCTGTGTTGGCATACAGGGAAAAACAACTGGTCATAACTGTGTCACCTTGGCTGAAATAGTATGTTCTGTAATAACAGCAGCATCGATTATAATTTAGAAAATGACAAACTGTGGTAGCTGTTAGTTTGCCACTTCAAACCTTAGATCCAAGGTTTATAGTTATACAACAAATTTGAAAACAAATCAGAAAATCACATACAGTTAATATCGCCTCAATAGACTAATTTTACCCTTGGTAAAATTTAAAAGGCTTAAGAGGAAAGTAGAGAATTAAGAGAGATTACAAGCAAGGCTGAAGGACAAAGAAAAATTACCCAAGCTTTGGGAAACTGATGACAAAGATAGGAGGGAAAGAAAAAAGTAAAAGGCAAAAATAGGAACTAAACATAACCA